GAATGCCCAACCTCCAACGTGACGAATCTTTGCAAGGCCTTCTGGAGGCATATCATCAACTCTAATGATAGTGATCTGCTCTAACTGGTGAGATTCCACAACTTTTGCGGCAAGCAGATGAACAAACATGGTAAATAAATCCATACAGAGAGTTGACCCAATAGAATAGTGCTCTTCTTGTAACTCATCGACCAAAAATACTGATCTCAATTCTCTCCTAAAATCAGCAGAATTTAGTAGCTCTATGTAAAAAAAATGAGTTGCATCTGTAAGTTCCTTCCTGGTATACAGTTCGTCGGGATTCTTCGCCAAATGGTTGACAAACATATTGAAAATCTTGATCCATTGTATTCTGGCGAAAAGATAAATCTGAGAATTGTTGGAGAGAATGCCGCGTATGGCACAGTTCTTTTTAGCAGCGAAATCTGTTAAAGGGTCAGTGACAATTTTCTTTTCAAGCAGCTCGTCGATTTGCAGTTCTTCTGGTAAAACAGCCATTTYGTTTTCATTATCTTCTAAASTAAGCAAAACGTTGYCTTGCAAATCTGCCACTACGGTTTCTTCCTCTTGCTCGAAAAATGAGCAAACGATTCCGTCGGGATACTTATCCATTGAAAGGCTTGAAAGATTCTCGGGCTCATCTACATGCTCCTCACAAAGTTCTTCACGTCTGTCGGACACYTGGAAAAACTCGAGACCAAGTTRCTGCTGTGTACAGCAACTGTGATTTTCARTCATTGCTATATTCTTGTCGCATACGCTGATAGCATCTCGTGGGGGAGGCAATAATTGTTTCGGGCTGAAATTACAAAGCTGTAACTGTTTTTCGTTGCGTACGCGTGAAACCGCGACATAAATTAAGCCTGGTACGAACTCTTTCGTACAGTGTACCACAGCAGCAGGCAGGGTCAATCCTTGTACCTTATGGCAAGTAGAGGCATAAAACAAAACTATAGGAAACTGGGTCCGGCTGCCGACCACAGCACCTTCTAGATTGCGCTTTTCCCATGTTTGACGCTTCAGTAAGATTTTACCCTTCGCGCCAAAATCAACTTCGAGCAAGCCGTTWCTGACCATGAGGAAYGTTCCTGGTGTTCCATTCTTCAGTTCATCGGTCAGGTTCCACACCAGCATGACCCTTGCGTTCTTCTTTAGSAAAAGTTTCTCTGAAGCAGGGCAACTAATTTTCTCGACTTTGCCAACATCTTCGCACTCGTATTGTATTAATTCCCCTGGCATTTCCGTAATAACCTTGAAGTTATGGAACTCAACTGAAAGTTTCTTGAAGTAGATATGGATGGYATTTTCCTCTACGATGGGCCTGTTTAAGGATTGTAGATAAAGGCTACTCTCAGCTGAACATTTACCAAGGCGAAGTTGCTGTATGKCTCTAACGAAAGGTTCATCTGCAGTCTCCTGACGTAATGGTTTTGACAACATAAAGCGGYGAGGAACTGCGACGTCAAATAATTTAGATCTAAACATAAAATCCCCAGCATCAAATATATTGGGTACAGGCCGCAACTGAAGAAATTCGCCCACCAAAATCATCTGCTTTCCACCGAATGGCTTACGATTTGAATCATCCTCCTCGTCGAGCTGTTTGTGGATCTTGTTCACGAGCTGAAATATTCTTTTACTGGACATACCTGCCTCGTCTCAGATGATAACATCTGCAGCTTTAATCAGAGCCACCCGATATGGGGCATCGACAAAGATCGAGATATAACCTTATGTGAAGGCATATCCGCTGTAAGGAGGCCATAGTACGAGTGTACGGTCTTGCTTTTTATAGTGCCATCGAAGACCGAAGATGAAATGCCGCTCGAACACACGACAACAACACATC